ACACACAAGGAAGAACCACACAATATGGGTTCAAATTCCAGTCCTGCTTCTTAATTACCTTTAGTTTGAGCAGTTTTGGTTTTTTTTCTTTGGCCCTCTAAAAAAACAGTTCCTTAACCTTGGTAGACCTGATTAGGCTTTCTGTGAATTGGAGTTAATCACAGTATCAACCTCATAGTAATGTTGAAGGAATTAAATAAGATGATGCATGAGTTCTTAGACCATAATAAGCATTTTATACTTGTTAGCTATTCCATTCCCTGTTTAGACCACCACTAATATTATCTTTCTGGGGCTTAATATTATATAGGTCCCTTAAACAGCTTTTCATGTTTGTTCTACACAAGAGAAATGACTGTGACCGTACCATTTTCCTGAGCTGTGGCAATCAGAACTGGGAGTGGGAACTTGTCTACAGAACACTCAAACTTGGCAAGGATGGTGCAGATTTTGAAAGATAATGGCTTTATCCCCTCCCAGCCCTGATGATATTATCAGAGGTGAGTGTGGCAACAATTACAGTGCCTGTGTTAAACAGAGCTTCTGGATTCTAGTTTTTTACTGATGCTAGTAAACAGGTAAAGACCACTGATATAAATGTTTCTATTCGTTAAGATTAGTTAGTTGTGTTTGTGTGTTTCAGTGTGCTCTCTTCGCTTTGAGGTTACAAGTAATTATTCTCAACAAATAGTTCTTGAGATTTTGCTATGTTGAAGGCATTTTGCAGGAAATTATGGATAGAAGTAGGTAAAATCGTGACCATATTTTCTGAATTAAAAATCACAAAATGATTTGATAGGCAAGTATCTGAACTCAGAACTATTCTAAACAATCTAGACTCAGTGGTTACCTTTTGTCTACAGAGCTCCTCCACTCCACCTTTCTTAGCTAAATTTTTACCTTATGTGACTGACTCTGGCACTCCTTTCTGTATAATCTATATTCACCACTTGCCAATACCATTCACATTAGTTTCTGGTTTTGAACTTGGCTTCCACTTTAAGTTAGGGTCATCTTCTTCGGTATTACTGTTTCCTTCTCTTACTTTATAAAACTTGTCTGTCATGTAGCCGTGATAGTACAGTCCTTTAGTCTTGTAACTTAACTATTTTCCTATCTACCTTATTATAGTTTAAGTTCTTTTTCAGATGCTGAATTTCAGAGTTCCTGTATTCTCCTCTTTTAATCATATTACAACCAAACCCTCAAAAAAGCTGCTCTCTGACAAGGCCAATTGTAGAAATATTCTTTGCTTTTGTAAAGATATTGGTTATGCTAAATTTTTGCAATATATATCCATTTTGTTTAAGACAGCATCTTTCTGTACCTCAGGTTGGCCTTAAATTCACATTGCTCCTGCCTCACTCTCACAAGTTCTGAGGTTACAGATGTGTACTACCATGCCTGGCTATCATTTTTAATTGTAGATTATTTCTTAATCTTTTCAGAGGAGATCATACCCATGAAGAGACAGAACTGTTTATAGTAAAATCGCTCAGCTGAAAACAGAAGATGTCAATTTCTTTTCAAATGGAAACCTTATTAATCAGTAGAGAAGGGAATGTGGTGTTATCAACTAATTTGCCAATCTACTGTTCAAATTTATAGGTAAATGCCAGGGGTAGATTGAGGAGTCCTACTTCTAAAAAATCTATTACCAAATAAAAGGTTTGAGATAATTTCAAGAGACCTTATCTCTAAATAAATAAATAAATAAGAGTTGGGGTGGGAATATAGCTCAGTGACAAGCCCCTGGGTTCACTCTCTAACACATACATTCACAAGAAAGAATACCATCTGGAAATTCTCTCCGAGAAACCTCCCTCACACTAACTCTTCAGTTTAGATCTCACAGTTACTTGAAAGATTAATTCTTAGTTGCTTTAGAATATCTGGTCTGGTTGGGAACAATTTCTGATTTAAGGGACACGATTCCCATTCCATATGTGAAATGCCTTTCACACTGTGCAGGAGAGTGACTAATAAAAGCAATTATCTTTTATTATTGATAAAACTAGGGTTTAGAAAAGTATGGTACTCCGATCAAATCTTACCTGACACTTATTATTGTAAATACTTTCATTGGAACACAGTTATACCCATTAGTTTATGTATTTTCTGTGTATCAGGGTTCTCCAGAGGAAAAAATAAATTATGTACTGTATAGTATCTATCAAGAGATTTGTTTTTTTGGTAATGGGAATTGAACTCAGGACCTTGTGCTTGCCACGCAGGTGCTTGTGCCACTGAGCTATATTCTTGGCCCCAAGAGATTTATTTTAAAGAATTGTCTAGTGCAGTTGTGGGAACTGGCAAGTTTGAAATTGTAGGAGAGGCTGGCAGGCTAGAAATACAGAAGTTGATGTTATAGTCTTAATGTCGAATTCCTTTGTTAGTGAATACATTTGTTATATACCACAAACATGTACTAATAAAAAATAAATGAGAATTTTTTCTCTAAGAACCCTCAGTTTTTGCTCCTAAGACTGATTGAATTAGGGCCATTGACATTATTGAGAGTAAGCTCCTTCATTTACTGTCAACAGATTGTAAATGTTAACTACAACTACAAAATACCTTCACACCAACATCTAGATTAATGTTGACTGGCTGTCTGGGTTCTGTGTCCTTGCCAAGTTGACACACAAAGATAACCATCACCCCATCTATCACTGTTTTCTCCCTATAGTAGCAGAACTAAGTAGTCATGGCAGAGATGTAAGGACCCAGAAATCCTAAAATATTTAGTATCTGGTTCTTTACAGAAAATTTCCTGCCCTCTGGAGTAAATCATAAATTGACCTCTATTTTTATAATAGAATCTGGGCACAGGTGCACACATATGTACATGCATGGACATATATGTGCTCACAGATATGTGCATACACACAAAGATTTTGCACATTTCCATATGTGAAATGCCTTTTAATAAGAATAAGAATTGTGCTTGGCTTCCCATGTTCACGGTCACTTTAGACTACATTTTATGAGAGTAGAAACAAAAGAGGATACAGATATAAGCTCTTGTGTACTCCTTCTAGAAGTTCTTCATCCCCCTTCTTAAATTTTTTCATATGTATGTATATACAGAATACTATGAAAAGATATGTATATGATGATATTATATATACTGTAATGGCTATTTTAGTATGATCATTTTCTTTTTCTTTTTTTGCTTTTTCTCCCCACCCCATTTCCCTTTGTAATTTGGCTTTCCTTCCTTATCTAGTGTGTCACAAACACTGATTGTAACCCACATTGACAAACCACTGTGAATCCCTTCACTTTTTTCTATGCATGATCGCATAATCATAAAAGGGCTCGATGTGTAAATATATCTATAAATACTCATACTTTTTGATATAGATATTGATTTGCCATTTATTTTTAAAAACAGGATAAAATTTTAACATGTATCTTCAAGGTAATGTAGCTCAGTGCAGAGCATCTGCCTAGCACATGCAAGGCCCTAGGTTCTATCCTCAGCACTGCAAAAAATAAAAAAGGAAACATTTATCTTCCTCTTCCTTTTTTTTCACTCAATAGTACCTCTTCTCAGGAAGCTTATATATAGTAGTTTTTCTTTGCTTTTTAATTTGTGATGAGTATTACCACTCTGCTGTGTTCATAGTGTTTTCTCACCTCTCTTACATTTACTGTCTTTTGCTGTGGAAAGGTGTGTGTCTAATTTCTTTCATAACTGCTGATTTCCATGTTAGGATTTAAAAATCCTTAGTTATCCCTGGATTGTATGATGTGGCGTCTTAAGTTTTTCTAGATTACTTTAATCTTCATCTCTTAATCATTTTTGTGTATGGAATAAGATAATTGGATGCAATTTTACTTTCTTCTCATTAGGTAGGCAGATATGCCAATAGCATTCATAACTAATGCATTTTCTGCATGATTAAAAAAACCACTTTTGTAATGTTTGAGTTTTTAAATTTATATTCGATTTATTTCTGGGTTTTTTATTTGAAAACTAAACTATTCAGACCTATAAACACAAAACTGTTCAGAAAAATAAATGCTGTATATTCCTTTTTGAATCCTTCTCATTTATCAATATTCTGCATTTCTTTTAACTTTCTTTTCAAATATAATGAATGGTAACTAGTTTTTCTAGAATCACCAAATATACTTATATATTTGCCTTATATGTTGCATATTTTGCTATCAGCCTGAATATGAGTGATCTTTATATTTTCTGCTATTCTTATGACCCTTTCTCAAAGCTAAGAATATATTTTAGTTCCTTTAAAACACCTCATCAATACTTTTGTATATCATAATTTTTAAAAAGTCTACAATTATTCATTCATACTCTTTAATTAAGTTTTCAAATAACTTTTCCCTATTCTAAAGTAGTCTAAGCTTTTCACCTGGGAGTTTTAGCTACTCTTGACAAGTCTGATATTTGTACCATGGACAATATAGAAAAAATCATGAAGGTTTTTTTCTTTTTATTGTGTCATCATAAATGATGGAGGGTGAAGGTTTTTTTTTTTATTGTGTCATCATAAATGATGGAGGGTGATGACATATTTAGTGAATATTTAATGTTTCTAATTCATAACTTTTGCTTAGCATATAAGCATGCCAAAGGTGATTATTTGTTGTAATTTGAATATTATCTGCAGACCTTAGAACACTGCACTTTTTTCTTTTATAAAAAATAAAAAATTTTTAACAAAATAATAAGAGAATGACAATAGTTAATATGGTGTATTGTTATCTTCAAAGTAGTTACTCAGAGTACAGGACATCAACAAAAAAGATTCTCTCAAAGAAGTATCAAATAGATTTTAGCATAAAACTTTCTTTTGAATGAACTAAGAGAAACTAGTAGTATAAATGAAATAAATTAACATGTATTAAAATGTTTTTGAAAGAATAGAATAAGTAATTTTGGAAACCATCTGAAGCTCTTTCCCTCTATACTTCTAAAATTATATTTTAACTCTTTTTTTTAGTACTTTTTTTGTTTGAAGTGAGTTAATTTTGCACTGACTTCTGGGAAGGTGTTTCTTGGAAGATTATTTATTGCTTTGAAATCTTGTGAGTGCATATGTGTGTATATATGTTTTATGTGTTGAACCTAATACATAAGCCTTTCCAATAAACTGCATTCCCCCACTGCCCACTTTTTACTTTTTTTTTGAGAGAGTCTCACTAAGTCATTAAGTTGCCCAGGCATATCTTGAATTTAAGACCTTCTACCTCAGCCTCCCAGAGTGCTAGAGTACAAGTGTGTCCTACCATCTGCAGTTCAGTTAGGTATTTTTAAAGCTTACGTTTTTCTCAAATGGTTACTTGAAAGTTTTGAACATCTGTTTACATACTAAGGATCCTAAAATATGCATGAAAATACGAAAAAAATTTAACAAATATTTATGTGTATGCTTTTTAGCAGTTATATATATATATATATATATATATATATAGAAAGAGAGAGATGGATGAATATTGTTTGATGCTAGGTTTTACTTTTTTCCTGGTTTATCACTTTTCTTATTACTGATAATTACAAATTGGTGATATAGTTGGTTATCAGGATTTTGATATTTATTAATAATTTTCAAGCAGAATAAATAAGATAGTAGTCATATTGTAATGTTTGAGTTGAGGATATAGCTCAGTGGTAGAGGACTTGCATTGCATGTGCAAGGCCCTGAGTTAGATCTGCAGCAACAAATGAATAAAATAATATCATTAAAAATTGTTTGAATAGATAAAAATTTGTCTCTGAAAAATTTGGGTAAGCTTTGTGTTTATAATACCTGTAGTTCTATCTATTAGGGAACTCAAGGCAGGAGTATTAGGGCCAGCTTGGGCAATATAGGAAGAGTCCATCTATTAAAAAAATATTTTTATAAAGATCTGAGTAAAGATTTCTAAGTTAAATTTTAATTCTTCTTGAAAATGTCCAGAAATAAAAAATTCCAGTCATGTCTATGTTTGGAAGAAAGCTACATGCCAGGTGTGGTAGGATACTCCTGTAATCCCACATTTGGGAGGTTGAGGCAAGAGGATTGCCACAAATTTGAGGCCAGCCTGGCTACAAAGTTCAAGGCCAGTCTGAATAACATAGAGAGACTCTGTCTCAAAACTAAAAACAAAACAAAAAAACCAAAACAAAAGCCAAAAGAAAGCTACATAGAAACAGTTAGCATTTATTCTTTTTATTTAAAAAATGTACAGAAAAGACTAAACAAGTTTGCTTCTAAATCAACTACAGTAGGAGAAAAGCAGCACTCAGACACCAAATAGGACCTTTTTATGCCTTTTTACATTTTCTTGCTAACAGAACCAAATGTGGAATTTAGGCCTTGTTCAGATCAACTTTGCAGTATTCTTGACATGTTTAACACAAGAAAAGAGGATGTAGTGGAAAAGAAATGTTCAAGATTATTAATAGAAGGTAGATAAAATAAAGCATTTTTAAAGAATATAATATGAAGTAGAACTTTTAAAATACAGTACAGGGCCGGGGATATAGCTCAGTGGCACAAGCGCCTGCCTGGCAAGTGCAAGGTCCTGAATTCGATTTCTGGTATCAAAAAAGTAAATAAATAAATAAACAAAAATAAAATACAGTACAGCTTTTAGAGAATACATTGGGATGTAGCTCAGTGGTAGAAATTGTGCTTAGTATGTGTGAAGTACTGGATTCAATCCCTAGTACCACGAAAAATTTTTTTAACAAGTAGTAAGAGAAAAGAAGAGTATCCTACCACACCTGGCATGTAGCTTTCTTCCAAACATAGATATGACTGGAATTTTTTATTTCTGGACATTTTCAAGAAGAATTAAAATTTAACTTAGAAATCTTTACTCAGATCTTTATAAAAATATTTTTTTAATAGATGGACTCTTCCTATATTGCCCAAGCTGGCCCTAATACTCCTGCCTTGAGTTCCCTAATAGATAGAACTACAGGTATTATAAACACAAAAAAGGAAAGGAAAAACACATTTTCCTTTTTTCTCTGAAATTTAACCTTTTGAATTTAACATCACATTGTACACATAAGTGATCAAATTACCTTTATTTGTTTAAAAAAACAGAAGTGGTAGCACACAGTTATAACTGCAGCATTTGAGTGGCTGAGGCAGGAGTTCAAGGCCAGGCTGGGCTACATAGCAAGTTCAAGGCTAGCCTGGACTATATAGCGAGACACTCCAAAAAACCAAAACAGGTCCTCAACATTCTGTTTTTTGTTTGTTTTGCTTTGCTTTCAGACAAGGTCTCACTCTGTAGTTCAAACTAGCCTTAAACTCACTACGTAGCCCACGCTGTCCTCAAAATTTTTTATATTGTTTGTGCTATCTCCTGCTTTTTCATTTACTCTGATCAATCTTACATTATTGTTTTTTGCATAATATAGCAACTGTTAGATTGCTATTTCATGATCTCTAGATATTTTTAAGAAATCTTTCTTTCCATGATCACAAACTGCAGTCCTGGGAAGTTATTTCTCATTTGATTTTTTCCTAGAGCCTCATTCATCTGCCTTGTTACTTCTGTTACCACCTCAGAGAGTCCAGGTGGGTGGCTTTCTAATTGTTCCATCTTATTGCTTCCTGGCTTTTCCTTTGGTGAGCTGGAAGTCTGGGGTTGCATCTTAAGCTGACTATCCTGAGTGATGGGATTACAGGCATGCACTGCCACATCTAGCTCAGGTCCTCAGTACTTTAATATGATACCAAACAGGTGCAGTGGTGTGTGCCTGAAAACCCAGCTATTGAGGAGGCTGAGGCTGAAAGACTACTTGAGCCCAGGTGTTCAGAGCAGCCTGGGCATCGTATCAAGCCCCACCCCATCTGTCTTAAAAAAACAAAACAAAACAACGAGACCCTATGTGCCTAATAAAAAAAACAAAAACAGTAGATTTCATTGTTTACAGAAATTAATGAGAAGAGAAAAATTCAACAATAAACAGATTATATGTGTCTAAATGAATACTCCATTTTAAAATTTCCACTGGAAAGTATATATAAATTTTATTTTATAATAAAAATCTGTTTTATAGTTTGGTGGTTGATGACTGACATTAATTATATTTAGAGTTCTCTTAGAGAATACTTTAACAAAAGCATATCCAACCCATGGCCTATAAGCTGTCTACCTCCATGAACAGCTAGTAATATACCCCCACAAGATTGTAAACTTTTAACATATTATGTGATTATTAATAATACTTTTCCTGACAAGATTGCCCAGTGCTGCATAGTCAGCAATGGAATTCTGTGAGGAGGAAGGCCCCATTGCAATGGTAACTATGCCTTCTGTGCCTGCCACACAGTCCAGTCAAATAAAATCCCTACAGCTTGGCAAGTAAAATGCTATAATAACCAAAAATAGTATTTCAGACTACCAATATGTGTATGTGTCTGTGTAGACAGGTGATATTGTTAGTAAACAGATGTGTACATTTTCTTATTATTAAACTTGGGCTTGTGTTATATTGTAAAATAATTTGGTAGGTTAAAATATCTTTTTAAAAGGACATTTTGTTATTTATAAACATTAACCATGTTATATACTGTGGTGCCTTGGTTCACAAATGCTTTTGCTTGCAGTTTGCCTTGCAAACAGAAGTGTTTGACAAAATTTAGTATTTGTTCACAAACAAATATTGCAAAAATTTGTTTTGCAAACAAAACCCTAGATGGGGTGAGAGCCTTACAAAAGAGCTTGAGTTCAAGTTCCCTGTCTTCTGGTCTGCTATGTGAGGAGAATCGGCAACAAGACACCATCTTGGAAGCAGAGAACAACTTTTGTCAGACATCACTCCTGCCAGCACCTACATTTTGGATGCCCCAACCTTAGAACCATGAAAAATAAATTTCTATTGTCTATAAATCACATAGTCTGTATTATTTTGTTACCGCTGCACAGACAGATTAAGATGGGAAGCAAGTAGTATCTTTGGCCACATTTTATTTAGATGAGGGTTGGGAGTAGAAACTACTATCTAGCTACAAATATTTTGTTGGGTTTAGTAATAAGTAAAGGAAAGCAAAACATTACTCAAACATTTATTTTCTATGCTAAATATTTTAATAGTAGCTCATTGGAATATGATCTCTCCCTATAATTTAAAAGAAAACACTTAAATTTTTTTGTATTTTGAATAAATCACTGAAATGGTTAATTGAAGGTATAGTTCATGTTGTAAATATCTTAAAAATAATCATTATTGCACATTAAGTTTTGAGATTTACCATTACTTTTATATTCTTGGGAGAGTTGCACAGCCTTTTTAAGTCTTATATTAAAAATATAGAGCATAGACTTTTCAAAGTATGACATAAAAATATAGAATTAAGGCCAAATTCTCAAAGCTTTTTATTTATCTTTGTTTTGTTGTTGTTGTTTTTTGAGTGCTGGGGATTGAACCCTGGGACACACATTCTAGGCAAGCACTTGGCATTTAGCTATACCTCCAACAATCTCAAAATAAAAGAACATTTATCTGAAGGACAATAAGAGGTTGTTGAGGGCTAGTCATGTCTGTGATTTGAGATAAATTTATAGATAGTGAAAATAAATTTAAAACAAACCCAGCTATGTTACATGGCTCCATAATTGTAATATATACAATTAATATTTAAAGTATCTTAAAATAATTTTCTACTTTAAACATATTGAAAGTTTTGTTAGGATAACTTGACTAAGTGATTTATACTTAATGAGATAGTATAACAGCTTGTATATTTCAAACTTGAGAACAATTTGAAGTTGGTCACATTTTCATTATCTGACATGTTCACTTTTTTTTTTTTTTTTTTGCAGTACTGAGAATCAGGGTTATGCTGTGTGTAAGTTACATCTCCAGTCCTTTTTAAATTTCATTTTGAGATGAGTCTCTAAATTACTGAGGCTGGCTTTGAATTGTAATCCTCCTGCCTTAGCCTTCCAAATAGCTGGGACTATAGGTATGCATCATGGTACCCAGGTGACATGTTTATTTTTGAGAAATTTCAAAGAATCTTTTTTTTTTTTTTTTTGGTATTGGAAATCAAACTCAGGACCTTGCACTTGCCAGGCGCAAGCTACCAAGCTATATCACTTGGTGCTTGTGCCACCAAGCTATATCACTGGCCCTTCAAAGAATCTTTATATGTTTGCTTTCTCATAGTATACTAAACATATTGAAAGTTTCATACTTTTGCTTTTTTTATACTTTCATATTAAAGTAGTAGTAGTATGCCATTGTAATGGCATATAAGTAAAATTCCTGGGCCATTGACACCTATAGTTCAGCTGAGTAACTAAGATCAGTGTAGTCACGTGTATCTTAATGATAGGGGTAAGATCTAAGAAATGCATGGTTAGACAATTTTGTCACTGTACAAACCTCTAAGTAATACTCTTAGACCAGCCTATCAGGAAATGTTGTTAGGTGGTGCATGACTCTATACAAATAAAACAGTAACATTTAAAACTTTACAGCCAGGCGTGGTGACGCACACCTATAATCCCAGCTGTAAGTCTGAGGCCAGCCTAGGCTACAAAGTGAGTTCAAGGCCAGCGTGAACTGCATAGTGAGACATTGTCTCAAAAAGACAAAAAATAAAAAGTAAAAAAAAAAAAACAACATTACACTATAAACTGGGTATGGCGGCACACTGTAATTCCAACACTCTGGGAAGCTGTTCATACCCAGCCTGGGCAACTTGTTGACTTTAGCAAGACCCTGTCTCAAAAATTAAAAATGGTGGGCCAGAGGTATAGCTCAGTGGCACAGCACCTGCCTGGCAAGTGTGAGGTCCTGAGTTTAATTCCCAGCACACACACACACACACACACACACACACAAATTTAAAATGACTGGGTATGTAGCTCAGTGGAAAGTCACTATGTTCAAGCTGGGCGTGGTGGCACATGCCAGCACTTTGGAGGCTGAGGCAGGAGGATTGTTGTGAGTTCAAGACCAGCTTGGGCTACAAAGTGAGTCATCAAGCTGTTGTGTTGGTTGTTTATTTTTTATTCCAGCCTGAGCTGCATATCGAGACCCTGTCTGAAAAAGACAAAAAAAAAAAAAAAAAACTAACACTATGTTCAGTCTCTAGTACTGCAAAGAAAACAAAAAACAACCATTATACTATAGATGGAAAATAAGCAATTAAATAAGCAGATAAGTTAGGTACTAGAACTCTTAAACTGATAAAATGCATTGTAATTCAAGATGAGTAAAATTATTGGAGGGTCTATGGATGAGGTATTACACCTGGGCCCAGAAGGAAGGGTAGGACTCAGATGGGTAGAAAGAATTAGGAAGTAACAGTAGGAGTAACTGTTCAAAATGCTGAGGCCAAACATTTGATCATTTTTATCCACCTAAACTTACTGTATTCTCTAAGAAGGATAGAATTTGAAAATCAACAGTCTGTTCCTGACCATAGTTTTTAATATTAGCATTGAAGCCACCTTAAATATGGATTTGTTCTAAAATCCAAAAACCTCCAATGAAAGAACATCACAATTTTACAAAGGAAGCTCAAGATTGTTTTTAATTGTATGTCATCAAGCCCTGTGGAGATATGGGTGCTTTAAGCCTGAGGCTAGGAAGAAGCATAGCAGAAGGGCATGACAAAGGATAGCTGCTTACCTTATGATAGAAAGCAGAAAGTAAGAGTGACCAAGAAAGGGATGAGGAACCAGATATAGTCCCCAAGGTCATGCCCCCCATGATATACTTCCATTCAGCTAAGTACCACTGCCTGCATCTTTCACCTCCCAATAATGTCATCAAATTATAAACTCATAATGGATTAACTCACTGCTGAATTTAGAACCCTAGTCATCCAGTCACTTCAGAAGCCCATCAGCTGGCAACCAGGGCCTCAATACAGTGAACCTTTTGGGGGATATTTTAGATAGCTAGAACACTGGGTATTTTTTGCCTTATCATCAGATGCTACTTCTAATACCTGACATTACCAAAGGGCATTTCCTGCAAGTGACAGGCCTTCTGTAAATAGTGACAGAGAAAAATGCTGTTGTGTTGGTTGTTTATTTTTTAGCTGCTTAAAAAAATCAAGTAATTAGTATTGCATATATTTAAGACAGTACTTTCTTGTTAACAAAATTTTTAGTTCAGCATACTATTTAATTATGTAAAAAGAGTTCATGACATTAGAAATTTTAAAATTATTGTTACTGCTTTGTAAATTAGACAAGTTTCAACTCGTAAGAATTATTGAAAAATAGGCATTGGTTCAGGGGATTATTAAAAATCAACTCAAAGCTCATTGTTATATAAAAATGTGACAGGAAGAGCTAAACATAACAGTTTTTGAGACAGAGTCTCAGGCTGTCCTTGAATTCATTATATAGTCCAGACTGGCCTCAGACTTGCACCAGTCCTCCTGGCTCAGCCTTGCAAGTGCTGGAATTATAGGAATGTGCCACCACCTCTGGCTAAGCAGAGCTAAATATACTTAATACATGAAGTAGAATAGTTCATATTAAAATACTTTTGTATTGAGACAAAATAGAATATTTATAATACCAACATAATAGTATTTGTTAGGATACATATTCTTATGTACATGAAATACAGGTAACTTTTAGTAATTTGTGTGTATATGGGGGAGGGTGGTACTGGGGGTAAAACACAGGGCCTTGTTCTTCATAAGCAAGTATCCTACCACTGAACTGTACATTTAGTTCTCTTTTATTTTTATATTTAGGTGAAAAAGATTGTTGGAGAACTGTGAATTTTGTAAGCTGCCATAATGAATGTTCTGGTATTGGTAGGTAGCATTGTAATATACATTAGGTCAAATTATAATGACTAATAATTTGCATGAAATCTTTTCTTTCTAGTATTTCAAAGTACTTTACAAACGCTAATTATACATTTCAAAACCTCTTTTATGGTAGCTATATGTGATTAAATTAATTATATATTTCAGATGCAAAAACAAAAGCTGAGAGAGGCAAATTTATTTACCTAAGATTACATAGTATTTAACTGATGAAAACCGAGTAGTTCGAGAGTCCCATTAATGAACTGTAACTATGAAGTAAAATAAAATTAGTGCAGTGATGCCTACAGACAGCTGATGTTCAGCAACTTAAAGAAACAACTTCAATAAAACTGGGTATGCCAAGTTAGTAACTGTTAAGTGTAGCTAAACGTATTTATATAAGGTATTTATATTTAAGAAAACAGTAACTTCCTATTATATTTTATCTTTAATACTACAGTCATTAGTTTCTCACATGACTCTCTTCGGATAAGCAAAATTTTAAAAATCCAGAATTGGTATAGATGATGAATCAGATACTCTCTTAATCAGAATATTTGATAAAATATTTGTTTGTTAAACTTGGCACTTAAGTAAAAATAATTTTCCTAGTGAAAAACCTAAAAAAAAAAAATAGGTTCTTTTACATAAATAACTTTTGCATTATTTTGTATTTTAGTTAACTTTTTTTTTTTTTTTGCTACTGTGGTTATCACTAATTAGATGCCACATGACTTATGAATTGTTTAAATGTCATGGGAGGAATACAATGTGTTTAGGAAGAATTTAATGCCATATTAACAAGTAATCCATGTTTCCTTGAAAATAAGGCCTAACCAGAAAATAATCAGGTTTGAAAAGTAGAGATCAAAATGCTAGCCCAAATCACCTTGCCTTACTGTCATTACAGAGCAGCCACTGAGCAAGAGGATAGTGAGGTATTATCTTCTGTATAACACTTTCCATCACCATGGTAATAACCAGTGCTTATTTTTCCAGTTAGGTCCTATTTTTAGGGAAACACAGAATTAGCTTTCTTATTTTGGGGGAAACCCAGAATTAGCCAGTTTCAATATTGCCTATACTTAATATTACCATTATAGC